GAAATACAAGGGATAATTTGTCACAAACGTAGGATTCAAAGACATCGATCATGTGGCTGTTGCTTCAAAGCCCAGTGGATCGAGCGCGTTCATGCTGATCTTCTATGCCGGCAATGCCCTGGCAGCACGATTGGCAAGTGCAACACGCGCTTTTGCGCTTAGGTCGTGCTTTTGCTCGGAATCTTCGAGGGTGCAGAGGAGGCGGGAACTCTTCGGTATATAATGGTACGCGGTTGAGGTATTGTCAACATCCACCGGCATTGCGATGGCCGGATGGCCAGCCAGCATGGAAACTAAAGAAAAAGGTGGGGTGAGCAGACTTGTGCATCTGCCCATGTGCGTGCATGTACATCCTGCATCTGCAGTTCCACAACATATTATATGCCCAGAAGAATTGTAAAGTCATCGAGTCGCGCCCAGATTCGCTCCTTGTCATTTCCAGCTGATCTAAAGGATTGTCTGCGAGTTTGTTCTCGGTTTCGCGGTTTTGGATTATTTCATCAGAGGTAGTCCAAGCGCCAGCCCCCGATTGCCCTAAAATTCCAAGCACGGCAAGTCTTGGCATTTTGTTTCATCATAGTCACTATGCAGATTGCTGCTTCAAGCGAGGTGCGGACAGTAAATTTCGTCTTGGAGTATATGTCAGCCAGGGCCTGAGTGTAGATGGTGAGTCTGGCGGATCCTCACTTGGGAGTCTCCCACGTCCAACTCACTGCATCACGACCGCAGCATGATTTTGCTGTGACGCCGCGTCGTAGCAGCTACTGCAAGCATACACAAACGGAGACAATTTTCACCCGACACTGGCGGACATGCATCCACGAGATGCAGCACCGTGAAATACAGCACAGGACAAGAAGGCATGCCATTGCCTCGGCGAGGACACTTTGGGGCGCATCATCAAGCATCATCGTCAGCAGGCATGGGGCTCAGCTGTGCTTGCGAAAGGTCAGAGGTCTGTCATTGACTGCTCGCCGAGGGTTCGGAGATGGATTTCCACCGCGTTCGCCGGGCACTTGAAGTGCCGTTCAAAAGAGGCGGGTCAGCAAAACTGCATGACAGTGCTGAGGTGTATACATGTACCAGCTGCTCCGTGGGCTGGACAGCTTGTACAGACACGGGGTGGTGTGCCAGCTGAGAACTTCACTTTCTGAAGCCTTTGCTTGGCCACGCTCGGCTCACTTGTGTGACTTGTGTAAGTACAGTGTCAGTAGGTACATCGGGACATCAAGCCTGCAAACTTGCTTGTGGACCCGCGGATGTATACCTTGAAGGTGCACCCGAAGTGCAGCCATGTTTCCCGGACAAGGGAAGAGTGACACCAACCTTCGGTCCCCGAACGCCACTCAAAGGTCTGCGACTTTGGCACGGCGAAGTGGGTCAATACATCCGAGGCGTGCGAGCTTGGGTCTAAAGAATCAGCACACGGCTTCAGGTCTTCTGGGAGGCATAAATTAAAAATCGGGCTTTGACCGAAACGCCGGAGCAACATGAAAGCTTGCACAGATTCTTTCCAACAACATGTCACTGATGTTCCTGCAAATTATTGCAGAATACTGCACGACCAAGGCGCAGTTCGACTTAATTGAGCCTTGCTTTGCGGCAGGGAACTTCCAGTAGTAGCCATGCAGGAGCCAGCAAGTTCCAAGTCGGTTCCTCGTTCCAAGCCATGTTTGCCTGCACATGCCAGATCAAAGGTTGACTACCACTTCGGACTAAGACCTCAGGTAAGCAGTCGTATGTGTTTTGGATGAAATACTGAAATCGAAGACGGAAGGAGTTCCGGTTAAGCTCTATGTAGGTAACAGGTCAAGATCAAGACAAATCTTGCAAGCTACCGCACTTGAGAACGGCTTTGCAGCTTTGCTCCTTCAGTCCTTGAAACCCCTTAACCTGGAGATTGCCGAAAGCTTGTAATCCCAGTCGAAAGCAAGACTTGTCTCCACCAAGAAGGATGCCTCGGGGGTCTGTATTGTGTTTGCAGCCCGCACACCGGGGACAAACGGAGTTGTAGATGATGCCTGGTTTCGAAAGCGGCAAAGTGACCCCATTGAACATCCGCAACAGCGGAATGGCTGTCGTTGGGCTCACATTATAGGGCATCAGAAAAGCTGACAGAGCTGTAGAGGGGTTGTGTATGCCCGGCCGGGCATTGAACACAAGATTTGCCGAAACCAGGGCCGCATGCGTTCAGCAGGCCTTGGAAATTGCTTTTTTGCTCGGTCGGAGGCTTCGGGAGCTCGATTTAGGTTCGGAGACTGGGGCCAGGAACACCAGCAAAGCTGAAACAGCTCTTAATGCGTTTTCCAAGCCGTGCAAAATGCATTTTTGGTGCCTTGAAAACAAACTAAAGCATTTTCAGTACGATTTTCGGGTTTAGGGGCGGCATTGAGCTCCAGATTTGTTGACACGGAAGCCAAATGCGTATAGCAAGCCTTGGAAAATGTTTCGTGCCCCGGAACCCCCCTGAAGACCTCAGAGCTCAGGCTGTTGGGGAAAACAAGAGACTACACAACATCGGCATCAACAGAAGCACAGGCAAAAGATCCAATGCGGACGGCGCGAGTCGGTGGAGTCGTGATTGAATCCGGGGCTGAGATCATGGTCAAAGCAGGAGGTTCAATGCCTGTTGGGTTCAAGCTTCTTTGTTTGGACGAAGCAGCATCAGGCTGAAGGGTACCGTGACCCGTCCTCATGACCTTGGCTAAACTTCAGCATCTCCCAGACAAACTGCGCAGGCGCAGTACTGCGTGCAGAAAAGGGGACGTCTTTGCCTTGTTAGGCGACGCAAATTCATCGAAAAATTGCCGACGAGCACGAAGGCTTGCATGCATTTGGGTGCCCGCAAGTCAGCGAAAAGTGGTTTAGTAAGGTAAGGCTTGCATCGATGCGATGAGTACCATAAAAACTGTACGAACAAGTCACAGCTGGGGGGCAAGTGGACACCCATGAGCACTGCGTTCAGACACGAGAGCCGGCGTGGTGCAAGTGCCCCGCCCGGTTCGCGGATGGGTTTCGGTGTTCTCTTGAGCAGCCTTCTGTGGTCCTTCGACTTGCTAGACAAGCTTTCACTCGCCTGTGTATTTCGCACTTCTTGCACGAGGTGTCACAAGCCTATGTTTGCTCACGTGCCTTGGCTCGAAATGAGATCACCTTTACGATGCCTCCCCGAGAAGCAGAGTTTTTTGGAACGGGCTCAACAAGGTTTCTACCGTGCCCCAGAGCTCATTCTGAGCGCGCGCGAACAGTCTCGGACTCGGAGAGAAGTCCTGTGAGGCGCAACATGTGTTCCAGTCGTGAATCTACAGTTTTCTGCCAGTACCTCGAGCGTGGATATGTGGGCTGCTGGTTGCGTGCTTGGGGAAATGCTGCTACGCCAGCCGCTTTTTGCCGGGAAGGCAGGCATCTGAAGCATCTAAGTTCTCTTCATGACCCTCTACAAATGCAAGCAGACGCAAGCGTTCGGTATATAGTGTGGTTCGGAAGATTGTCAGGATGGGGTTGACCAGCTTTACAAGATCATTGAGGCCACATGCACAAGTCCATTTCGACCAGCATGTCTGTTTTCTCCTCAGATCATGGGGACCCCAACCGCACAGCAGCTCTATGCGATGAATCCCTACTACGATGCCGGAGGCGGTGAAATCTGAGTCCACGTGTCGATGTTTTCAGTGTCCTGCTTGTGCCGACAATGCTAATGTTGAAGTGCATCCAAACACGAAGCCTGCTCCCCTGTGCAGCCGTCTTCACGCAAGTCCCGCCCTTGAAGTGGAGCAAAGTCCTGCGGGATCGATGGAGTGCGGAGGAGCTTGGAGAGACTGTATGCATCTCTGTGTCACTGATGCAAAGCGTGCTACATGGGTTCAGGCTGAGGAGCTTCTGGCTCTCATGCTTCAGCTCGCGGCCCAAGCTTGTCACCTGAATCAATCTTGACACATTGTCCGCCCGTTTGTTGGTTTGAAAGGTTTGACCCCAAAAAGCGGCCGCGCCCGATGGAAGCTATGGTGCCATTCCACATGGTGTCTTGGGACAGCCACGGTTTTTCATGCCAGGCTGCACACTTCTTCGGCGAGCTGCGCCGGCGGCCGAAGAGTGTGGCGAGTACCTCGGGCAACTCACGGGGACCACCGGACCTTCACGGGGTGTGAGCGGATGCGGTTTCAGGCTGCAGACTTCTTCAATTTCACGGACCAGGACAAAGCTTGAGCAAAGAAACCGCAATTTACCATCTTGCATCATCTTGCCAAAATGTCAGGAAAGGGCCAGCTGCCCTCCAGAGATCTTCAAGAACCTCATGCCACAGTGCGCCGACATTTGCGATGTGTGAAGCTTGAAGTCCTAGACTTCCACTCTTGTCCCATGTCTTGGAGCTGGAGGAGGTAAGTGGGCGCTCTACCGCCCAGTGGGCCGACCAAGCCCTGCCACGCCTTGCCTCAGCGATTCGCAGTTTCTGCCTGCTGAAGGGCACGTTAATGAATAGTGCACGGGTAACTGGGCCAGACTCGCAGTGTAGTCGTACATGCCTGGTGGCCCGCGATGATCTGGGCTCGAGGGTCGCAGTAAAGTCTTGTGAAGCGCTTGCACGCTTGCGCTGCTGTCCTTTGAGTTGATTCTGCTCGCTTGTCGTTGTCTCGCTCTGGCTCAAGACGTTTCTGGTGAAGTGGGACAGAAGGTACAAGCCACATTGACATGTTGTTCGTGACTGTGTCGGATGCTAGCTGCTAGCAGACCGAAAGGGGTATTGCAGGTCCGGGCCTTTGCAATTGCAATTCCCTTTTTTCCAACATGCCTGGGAAAGATTATTATGGCATCCTCGGCATCGGCCGAGATGCCAACCAGGACTGGCCGGCAATCAGGAACCCGTCCAGATGGGTCTACAGTCGAGATTTTGATGGAGTTTGCAGTTGCGCGTGGCAGGACGACATAAAGAAAGCGCGCCGTGGCCGCAAGTTTCACGGGGTCTCATGATGGCTGGCGGCTGGAGCAGAAAGATTGCCTGAGCTTGTAGGTATCGACGAGCTGCCCTGAAGTGGCATCCAGACAAGAACCAGGCGCAAGAGATCTTTGCTGTCTAAAAGGTCCCGAAGAGGCATCTCCGGCATGTGACGTTTTGCTCACCTGATACCTTCGAGGAGAGGCGGGCCGAGGCCGAGGAGAAGTTCAAGGACATCGCTGAGGCTGTCATTGGAGAAGAGGGTGCAGACTTGGTTTCCCCTGTGTCGATGCATCTCGCATTCTCAGACGAGGCCTATGATGTCCTCAGCGATGCAGAGAAGAAGATCGCACCTCAGTTTCTTCACAGCCACTCGTCGCGGCAGTGTGCTAAGGTACACTAGCCTGCGCACTAGCACAACAAGCTCCACACACACACACACCCACTGATTGCTATTTCACTTCCATTGTCAGCTGGCGGAGATGCGCCAATCACTAGCGTTGATATTTCGTCCCGAAAGACCCGAAGTGTACCACAACAAGTCCTCAACATCCCTCATCCAGGAGGGCCACGGTGCTTGGACATGTGCTAGCCCGGCAGTCGCTGTGTGCGGGCTGTGATGTCACTGTCACTGCCACCCGGCTTCCCCTGTCCCATGCCGTCCTTGCTGCCGGTCCTCACAGCTTTGCTGCCTTGACTGGCCATGGTGCGAGTAGCACAATGGAGTTGTTCGAAAGGTCCTCGATTTGTTATGCCAGTTGCATCCAGCTGCCACGACTTCAACATGCCCGCGAAAACGCTGCACATACCGAGAAAGGAAGACACTTCGGATCGCTGACAGGATGAGGAGCTGATAGATTGGGCAACATATTCGGATGCCAAGGCCAAAGTACACAGCCCAAGTGTCGGCCTGTCCCGCCACCAGGTGGTAATGTGATGCTGTAAGGGATTTCGCGAAGGGCCGTGGGGCGTTGCCGAATTATAGGGCATGTAAGAGTTCAAGGTGCGGCGGCGTGACTGTAAATAAGCGCCCGAGCATTGGAACTTCTCTGCGCTGGGCTCCTTCTCTGCTGGTTATTTTTGCAGCCTCGGCTGGCCCCTCAAATTGCAACTTTCCTGCCTGAGGTCCATCTACGACCAGCATGGCGAGGAGGGCCTAAAGGGTGGTGTTCCAGGGTGGATGTCCTAGCATCAACCACGTACATCTGGACACGTGAGCGCTTCAAGATGAAAAACGAGTTTTGTCGCAAGGCCCGATCCGGCTGGTGGCATGCCCGGTGGGCCTGGTGGTTTCCACTATCAGTTTTCTGGGGAAGCTTGATTTGCAGTCACCTTCACATGCTGCTCTTTCGCTCTGGGAGGATTTGTGCATCACTCCTAAGCGTGAAGATGAAACCGAGGATCCGAACGACATGTTCGCCAGGTTTTTCAAGGACCGCGACCTGTCCTAGAAACAAGCCCGTTGATGCAGAAGACATACAGTAGTCAGGCACAACGATCCACAGCGGCTCGCAAGAGGGTAAATGGAAAGCCGCCTCCTGGGTCCCAGTACCATGCACGGCAACTGTTGATGCTATCGTTCGAACGCTCTTGCGTTTCAAAAAAGACTTGGATTCTTCCCCTTACCATAGAGCAATGCGAAAGGGCTCTCCTCAAGACAGCAGGAGTTGGGCCCTAGAAGGGCCTGAGGCGACACTCAAGCGACTGAATAAACGAAGAAATTGCAGAAAGGCTTCGACGAGTCTGTTTGCATTGAAACGCATGAGGGCATAAGCAGCATTAGGGCGGCAGGGAGGGAATTGAGAAATATGTGTGCAGCCATGAAAGCTCGAGGGCCCATGCCCGGGCAATGAGCTTGCAGGCTTCTTTTTTCATGCTTATCTCCATTTTGGAGCACACGGAGGCATGAGCCTGTTCCCTCCTGAAGCGGAGTTCACCGCCTTTTCTTGAGCTTCGACGAGCTGAGGTGCTGGCATGGTCTGGCCGAGAGGCACACCGCCAAGGAAGAGGACTGCGCTCATCGCCCTCGCGCTGGACCTTCCGCCGTACGTGGACTTAGACATGTGGCAGCCCTACGGCAGACGAGGTTTTCGAGGCGAACAAGTGCAAGGCCTGGCTTCCTGATGGGGCGGCTTCTTCGTGGTGATCACCTCAACAGCGATCACTGGCAACTGATAAACCATTTTGTCACATGTGCATTGACATGAACCCTTTGGAAGAACCCGTCCAGCCGAAAGCATCGGAAGCCGGTCTACCTCGCATTCGTCACAAGCCCAAGTGAACTATGTGACTTCGACCACAAGGTCATGGTCTCGTTGCGGGTCACATCGCCGTTCACTTTATGGCCAGTCAAGGACCAAGGGGACATTCAAGCGTGCTGGCTGCATCTTGGAGGAAAAGGGCCCTCATTGATGCAGGAGAGGAGGTCCAAACCTCAGGATGGACGAGGCAAGGTGATGCAGCTACTTTCTACATGAAGGTCAAGCCGAACATGATTGCCAAGTACCTGAAAAGAAGCGGGATCAAAGGGCCTGCATTTGTCCCGCAGCTCGCGAAGGACATCGTTGCCTCCTCCAGTTAAATGGATTCCCCAGGAGGCCGATGAGGACGGGCAAACCTACTTTGCGAGGGTACAAAGTTGGCCTCCGTGACGTCGGCGCCTCTGGTCTACAGACGTTGAGGTGAGAGCTTCTTGGGCCTCCAGTTGGACAAAGAGGAGCCGAACACTATGCACTCCCGGATTCTTCGGAGAGTGCCTCCGGTGGCCAGCCCTCTGAGGAACCGCGTGCTGAACAGCGGAGGGAAGAGGCTGCATGCATCCTTGGCCACATTGCTCATCTTCCTCGCGATCTATGGGAAAGACTGAAGAATGTAAACCTTTAGCAAACTCCAAGCTGAACTACGGTGTCATTGCGAAGTTTCCTGAAGATAGGTGCATCAAGCGGTTTGACAACCTCATTCAGACATGTGCGGCAAGAGTCCGCTATGCGGTCAAGCCACTCCCAGACGTCATTGCTGGGGCTCACGCCCTGTGGGGGCCAACATTGATTTGGAGGACCTTGTCTCTCTGGAAACGAGCGGGGCTGAGGCTGCTTCTCTTGGAACTCCGTGCTCAATGACCTCGACTTTCCTTTCGCGACTCATCGTCTACGTGCGAAGCTTAGGGTGGTCGCCGGGTCGCCTCAGAACCAGCAGTGGGCACGCTGGGTCCACGATTTCTTTTCGCCGGTGGACATCTCGGTTCTGAACGAGAAGATGAAGCATCACCTGCGTGAGAGCTGGCGAAGGTCTTTGGCAACGTGCAGCTGGGTTCGGCATGAACTCCGATGGGAGGACATCCCCGAGTACGATTCGGCTCTGATCTCTCGGGTCGAGGAAGCTAGGGTTGCTGCGGGGGCATCATGTCTCATCGAGCTCGCTTTGTCGCTCAGACTCCTGGCTCAAGACGCTGGGGGCCATGTGGACAGGAACATCACAGTTTCATGGATGGATGAGGCTACTCTACTCTACTGGATGGAGCCAAGCGAACAAGGGGTCCTTTTCCCCACGTTTAGCTGGCGTTTCACGGCAGTGAGCCACACGGTAAAGTCACACACACACACACAACAGATGGGGTTGAGGTGATGGTCGAGTCATATGACATATACTCGTACTCACGGACAGCTCTTTGGCACAGGCGATCCTGACAAGAAGGCAAAAGGGGGCTCTGCCATGCCTCTATATACACCATGGCGTCCGACCTTAAGAGCCTCGCGCAACTGGTTGGTGGAACGGTGTTGGGCCGAAGGGATCACAAGGCGGTCTAACCGACGCCTTCACCCACTTCCCGGTTCACCCTACAGAACATGGACAGTGCCCTCCCCGCGGGTGACGATGAACATTAGTGTATGTTTGTCGTATGTTCTTCGAGCACAAGTGGGTCATGCGTCAGCTCTCGGCCTCGCGAGACTCCCGCAAGGAATGTTTTGGCAGGCCGAATTTCAGCTGCCGACCTACATCGACGACCCACTCGCGGCGCTGATCGCTGCCCGACCTTGGGGGCCTCGGGCATCGGCCCTATAGGCATAGGTTTGGCATGGCACAAAGGAGCCCGAGTGAGCCAGATCACGTGAACTGGCGTGATCTTCACGCTGCGCTGGCGAGAGGGAGTCCGCACGGAACTCCTCCAGAAGCTCGACAAGTCGGTTCCTGCGATTGTGTGCAGTTGGGAGGAGGTGAAGACGGGGACCGAGGAGGCCCGACAGCGAGCCTGCAAAGAGGCATACTACGCATAGTGAACTCCAAGCTGAAATGTCACATACCTGCCAGGTTTAAGGGGCCGTTCCGGTGTTCATCCCCTTCAAAGCAGCTGCCTTCGACCCGCAACCTCTGCAAGCAGCAGGATTTTATCGAGCGCCCTCCGTTGCATCCAGTCGCGGGCAAGCACAGGAGGCTTTGTCCTTCTGGTTGAACAGTCCTAGAGAGCTTAACCCGCACTATCCGCGTAGGTTCTGCCGATGTCGCCCATACACAGTCAAAGGCCTACATGCTGCTGCCCTGAGCCGTGGACTGACATCTGTCCAGAAGACAGCATGAAGGAATTTACACGTTATGCAGCATTGTCGGTATACGCAGCCGAGAAATGGATGCAAAGCCAGCGGCCTGCCAGTCCCACAACAAGCTGGCGTTGGCATTGTCCTGGCGAACCCAGGTGCCAAAGCATCAACTGCCTTGCATGGGGCCAGATCGCTCACATTCTATGTTATTTGTCTTTGGCTTCTTTTTGGGTGTGCGGAGACGTCCTATGCCAGCTCTGTCACGCTCATCCTGGCATGGGCAATCCTCAAACAAGGCCTGCGAGTACCCAATGGCCAATGGAGCAGGACGCTGAGTTGCTTGCGGTTCCACTGCAAGTTCCACAAGGCTTCCTCAAAGCATTGGCTGTCTTCTTGCCTCTGAGGAAGGAGAAAGCTGCCTTTTTCAACGCCAACCCTCAACCACCTGGCAGACATCCCGGGCCACGTCCAAGACGAAAAGGCACCCAAGCCGGGAAAGCTCCAAAGGGGCGATGTTTGGCTAGGTTTAGCCCGGTCGGATGACGCATCGGAGGCGGAAGCGTCCTGTGTAGCCATTACACGGGGTAAAAGCAGACGTGCTACAGCCATGTCAAAACCCGGTGTTATGCGTTTCGTTGTGAGTGGTCGGACGCGTTTTAGGCTAGGTCCCTCCCGCGCGCAGTTTACGGCAGGACCGCTGCAGACCCTGGCGTACTTCCCGCCAGCATCACTGTGGACCACACCGCGACTGTTCACATGGGGGCTTCCTTGGCGGCTGTGGGAGCTGATGACGCTTTGCTGCAAAGCGTTTCACCGACTGACCACTGCCAAACCGACGACGAGCAGAAGGTCAAGAACCCAGGTTAAGGTTATAGGGCAACACCAGGGTCCGGACTTCCCCTATGGCAACGCCGCGGCGGCCTTGCAGGGCACTCCCCAGACAGAGACCCATCGCTGTGTCGAGACGGACAATCCCAGATGGGCGAGAACTTTGGGCCGCTCACAAGCGGTGCACCTCCTCGGCAAGTTCAGTTGCGGCCAGCCGTTTGCAAACACCATCCACTTCGCGGTCGCGGCATCGGGAGCAACGCACCGGAAAATGAAGGTCGTCTCTTCTGAGCTTGCATAGGGCAGAGGGAGGGCTTGAGCTTGTTGCGAGTGCCTTGAAACGCATGAAATGCATGCGGGGTATAAGCAATTAAGCAGCATTGCGGCGGCAGGGAGGAGCGGGCTAGGAGGCTACTTTTCACGTTTATCCCCGCCCACCCACCCTGAAGTTGAAAATGCGGACACGATCTCCCGCGGCAGCGGCATTGGGATGAACGCACCGAAACATGAAGCCCTGTTCTTCTGAGCTTGCATAAGGCGGAGGGAGGGCTTGAGCTTGTTGCAAGCACCATGGATGTCAAGCGAGTGGATTATTCGGAGATTCTGAACAGCACCCGTTGGCAGGATTCCTTCCATCGATCATCCTCGTTTGGGGAGTCCCCTTTTGAGGTGGACTTCGCGTATGCCTTCGGGATCAAAATACTCCCCTCGCTTTGCCCAGGAGATGTTTGGAATGTTTGGAGGTGCTATCGACGAGTTAGCATCCCAGCAACCTGGAGCCATTTCTCTTCTGAGGCATGGGCGGAATGGGTGGCATGGGCGGCAGCATGCCCGGCATGCGAGGGGGTATGAGTCAAGGCAGCCAAGCCGTCAGGCCGTGATGCGCACATGTGGATGTGCGTTTCGAACATTGGCTCCAAAACTGGACAGGCCTGCGGTGTTTGATCTGCCGTGCTCGCTCGAGGTCGGGAACCCATGACTTGCTGCCTTTTTGCTTTGCCACAGTTTAAAGCTGACGGCCGCAGAAACGCTGAAAGCATGTAGAATCTTAGGCTAACCCGTTCACGATGGCCTGGTATGGGAATTGTTTGGGTTTTTAGGGTTTTGAGAAGGCAAAAATGCAGCTCCCCGATCTGGAAAGCTGCGACTCGCACAATGTAACGACCGTCCAATGGGGAGAGATTTTGACACAATTCCGAACGCGTTATGCCCTGGTTGCTGCAAAACTTTGACGGGGAAGTCACGTGTCGCACAACGTGGGAAAGGCGTAGAGGGCTGGAATTCACTGGGGCCATTTCCTGGGGCGGGACGGCCTTGCCCACTAGTCAATATGAAGCCGGGTCGACAGTGTTCGGCCAACAGCCGTCATGACCACCCAAGGACCTCTACAACGGAGCAACCAAGAAGATGAAGGCAAGAGCATACGCAGAGCACACAGAGCGCGGGAGTTGTTGACACATCCACACTCGGCCAGGTGAAGCGAATGTCGTCGACAATTGCTCGCGATGCTGAGGTGCAAATCCGAGCGGCACTAGCTTCAGAACTGGCGGTGTTTTAGAACCTGTGTGCAGACGCTTCCTCGGCTCAGGCCGTGCTCGAAGTTGAGGTGAAACCTGGTTGGAAAGCTGGCACGAAGGCCTGACAGTGCTGCGCGTGGCGCCCCCTACGGACAAGGACTAGGTCAATGCAGTTTCAAGCATCGGAGCCGGAGAGGTGACCTATGCCGGCGAAGGGGATGAGATTGGAAGCTCGGGCAAGGCGCAGGAGAGCGGCATTGCTGCAGTCATGCCAATCAGCCGATTCTTTTGCATTGTGGCGTTGTGGTTGTGGGTGTGGCTTTCGCCGTGCTTCTTGGGGCAAGTCCAGCTGCAGCTGACTTCCTTCGTCCAACAGTGGAAGGCCAAAGTGTTCGGAGTCGTCACCCCCATCATCACCATTAGCTCTCTTTTTCTGTTTCCGTTACGGGAATGCCGCAAAGCAGCGACATGCATTGCAAATCATGGGCCACCAGCTCATCTCTGGCCCACAAACAAGGCCTAGTCAGTCTGTCCCCGACTCCCGCACACACGCTGCACCGACCAATTCTTGAGCTCGGAGCACCCTCACCACCCTGGAGGTCAGGTCAGCATACGGCGGAGTTGTGGGGTTTGTAAGTTCTAGTTTCATCATCGTACCTTTCAGCAGCAACTCGTGTGGACATGGACAGAACCGGTTTTCCCCATCAAGCCAGTCACTGAACTTCCTTCATCGGCCAGAAAATTGCTAGCACAAGCTGTCGTTTGCACCAGCATCAGCAGAAGAAGCGGAGCTAAATGGCCTTGTTTGCTTAAGGTCCATGCACGGCTCCTTCAGGAACGTGGTGCTACCGAGCCCTTGAGGAAAGCCCTGGCAAAAGCACCCAAGCATTGGATTCACAGCGTCCACCTTGAAACCGCGAAAGCCTCGACCTGCAACGATACAGGAATACACCTTGCTTGGGTACGGTGTGACAGCCGGAAAATCGCATGAGCTACACAGAAATCACGCCCAAGACTCCGCCGAAAGGGAGCTGATGGTTTCGGAAGATGAATGACGACGTATCCTAGCTAAGAAGCATGTATTGGTCAGATGGCTCCACTGCCCAAGTCTGGCTGCTGGTGGTTCTAATCCCATATGCAAAAGACATGCTCGTCATGTCGCATCAAGCCACTGTGGCTACCACAATGGTGCAGTCAGGATGGCTTCTCTAACACCCAGACGTTTTTTTGCATGCATGGCCTTCTCCCGTCACGATGGTAGGTTTAGGGTGTTTGAAGGCCCTGCCACGGCCGGCAAAATCTATCTTGAGGACAGGGCCGCCATCTGCCTACAGCCTCCCTCACCAGTCCGCATCGATCGCGCCAGTCGTACCAGTCGACTGGAGAATCTAGTTCATCTTGGTGCCAACTCGGTCCCGATGTCTACTGCAAAGGGTGCTCGTAGGTGGCCTCTTCTCAGCAGGCAGTGACCTGCCTCATCCAGGGCTTCACTGATCAATCTCGGGACCGTCCCTCCTCATATGCGCCCGGCGAGTTGAGAGCACGTGCCTGCCGGCTATCCGGGCTGGCCATGCGAAACATTGCCACCAACCAGCTTCTCCCTTCACGCGAGTCGTAGCGAATACTCCAGTACTGTGACCTCGTAATCTCAACCTCAACATGGAGACGCCTTTCAGGCCCATCACTTGGCCTTGGCTACGGATCAATGTCCCTATCATCGACCCACGGCGCTTGCTGCAGTCAGTGGCAGTCCAGTATGTTGGTGATTTCCCTGCCAGCAGAGGTGTTCCGAAGCAAGGCGATAGCATTTATTTCCAGCTATGTCAGCAACAAGCAAAACGAAGCTCCCGCAGAATCTGTATCTGTTTTCAGGACGTGGTTTTCGTCATCCGAGAAAAAAGGCATGCCACTTTCACAAGAGAGGCTCGGAATGGCTGCCGCTGTGATCTATTCGTCCCCCCAGCTTCGAACGTGATGCATTCTGGTCCAGGGCTCCAATCTCCTTCACCATCGAAAGATTCCTTTGGTAGACGCTCTGACTGGCTTCAAGGTGGGGAAGTCACGTGGCACGTCAAGGACTTGTATTGCTGTGGTGTCTCCCAGGTTGATGTGCCCATGTTAGACAAGAAGGAAAGAATCCTGCGCGTCAACGTGTCTGACATGGCACGCAGCCGTTCAAGTGCCGCTTGTCATGAATGTTAGACGTAGTTGAACTCGCGCCAGGTCAGCCCCAACTTTGCCAAGGTTGTGAAGGGCGAGGGCATGCCGTCTAGCAAGGCAGACAACAAGGCTTCCAATTATTGCTGAGCTTGTTCCCACTGCTTGCCCCCGAAGCGTGTCGTCAAGAAAGGGCGACCTCATAATTACTTTCGACATCGTCTACCCATCATCTCTGACGCCTGAGCAGAAGGACGCCTCTGAGCCCAGATTTGCACCACAGGTTTTAAGGCACTGAAAGAGAACCTTGTCTGAGGAGAAGTTGAAGGCCGCGCTGCCCAGGTCTTAAGCAGCGGGACTCTTGCTGCCTGTTCGTAGAAGGGAAAGTTTAACGCAAAGGTGTTGATGTAGATTGCAGCCTCACGTCATCTCGCGTTGTGAACTGCTAGCATGAGGATGCCAAGCAGGAGTCGAAGATTTCCGAAATTATTTCTCTGCATGTTTACAGGCACTGCAAGTACTGTACAGGTCAGAGGACCCTAAGCCTTTGTTCGCGTCCTCTGACACAGCAGTGGCCAGAGACTTCAAGACGTGACTGCCTCGTGGCAAGAAGTCTTCTTTGCCAACTTCGCAAAGCTGTGAGACTTCCGAGGACTTACCTCAGAGATGGCATCCACAGCTGTATCTACGTGCAGGCTGTAAAGTGATGTTTTGGATACATCAACTTGGTTAATCTTGGTTACAAGGATACCATACCACATCGCTCTCGCATTCCAACAACCCTCATTCCAACACGCATCTTCTGTGCTTCAAGCACGCTGTGACCGACCCGTGCTGGACTGGGCCTGCATGGCTTGACATGATGGACGTGGCGACAGCATCCAGAGGCAAGAGCTAAATCAGCTTTTTGAATAATTAGGCCAAACACTGCAATCGCAAACGTGCCATCAGGACCAAGGGTTCGGCCCTCTGCAGAGCCGATTGGCAGCACTTGGCCCATTTGGCTCTCAAACTGTTGGGCAGGATCTGAGACTTCTCGAGTGTTCCGGTTGACACCAGTACTTGTTTGCTCTGGTGCAGGCCCTCGGACCAGGAGATATACCAACGGTTCGTGGCTTGGTGAGCTACCCATGTCAATGGGGTGTTCTCAGATTATGGCCTTGATGCTTAGGTTCCGCAGCTTCTTGGATGGCGGGCCGAGGAGTGGAAACAAAATTGTGACTTCGCCCAGTCGCAGTCTACTCAGCCTTCCTCGACCATTAGTGCCTCTGGAGTGTGCCGTTTTTCACTGATCAACACAAAGCTTTGGAGAAGAGTTCAAAAGCTCAGCATGCTAGCAGAGAGCCATCTTGTGCTGCATGACAGAAGGAAGCCTGGTAAGAAGACAGGTCAGCACAGGTTCGTCCTCGCATGTTTGGGGCATGTCTGCCTGCAGGATTGTCATTCCGGATGATGAGCGATCACATGTGCAGGCAGGCGGTGCGATGTCGCCATGCCTTTGAGGATCTTTGGCACAAGTGAGCTCATAAGTTAAAATTTGGCTGACTTTCAGGATGCAGGAACAGTTGTCGGCAAAGCTGCTTCCGACAAAGCCCTCGGAAAAGTACATGGAATAGTGTCATGCCTTCAGGACAATGCCTTCGGGCTGCGGGAAGCTAAGACCTGGATGCTTTCCATTTGTGCCGGAAATTCTGCCAAGGTTCGAGCGTGCCGACTGATGCAACATATCAAGCGCCTCTCGGGAGAAATAAAACCCATGTACTATTTCATTATTACTTTTAAGACAAGGATGGTCAAAGTAATAAGAGAGTTCAGATATATTCTGTTTTCGAATTCTATTGACTTTGGTTCACTTATCTCAAGGTTACGAAAAGGCGAAAGTCCCCACCTCCTTCCGGCAGCTCGCCCCACAGTCTTTTGAAATATTTGGAGCAGGAGACATTCTTCTCTCCCGAGTCTCATGCCCCAACATTTACTGGAAATTTTGGAACTAGAAGCGTTACTCCGCGATTTTCGTTCCAAAACGCTCGGAAAATTTTGGGGTAGGAGACCCTTCTTTACGAGACACCAAGTTTTCTTAATTTTTGGGGGGACGATTCTTCAAAGTTATGATTGCCGTTAGTTTCAATATTATCGCTTGAAGTTATGAAAAATATGGATGCGAATTTTCTCCAAAATTTTGGAGTAGAAGTGTTGGTCTTTTGTCTCTTTTTTCAGTTCTTATGATTCTTGCGTTGAATTCAGTTCTCTCGAATCATAAAGATAAATAGGTAATAAAATCGCAGGTAATTTCGTTTGCATTCATTCGATGGATAAGTTTAACTATCTCGATACATCGATTTAAAAGGCAAGAAACTTGTAGGAATTTATTTTGTGCGCGTTCGATGAAATTAGAGAATTCGAGCGGCACGAAATCGTACAAATTAAATCTATTCTTCTCTCTCATGCAGATTCTCGGAATCTGAGATTCTCAATTCTTCTCTCTATATTATTCTGAGATTTTGAGTTTCTTTTCTTGGGATTCGTCGAAGATATACTTTAAGTTTTTCTCGGTTAATTGTTTGATCTACTGTGTTTGGTCATTTTCTCTTCTTTTCTGTATCCTTTGGGATTTTAAATCTATTCTTTATTCTTTCGTTAAAAATTCGTTGGTATATCGATTATTATATTATTCTCAATATTTTTTCTTGATTACTATTTGATTTTCTTAACTTTTAAATTTTCTCATATTCTTTATGTAATTATATTTACAATACCACAAATTCTAATTCGTTTAAAACATCATATAAGTTTGAATTTTATCATTTCATTTCGGTTTCTATAATTTCATAACATATTTTATTTATACCTAAACTTATAGAAAACTGGTTAAGTTTTGTCTATTCTTGGACAAGTTTGATTTTTCTTATACATATATATATATATACAATACATATATATATATATACATTTTTGACAATAGTGAAAGAAAACATATCAAATTTCATAAAGGAAATACTAATTATGTGAATATTCCTAAAATACAAATGTAATCTATAATTTACTTAGTATTCTCTTCTTGTTTATGGTTCCTATTCATTTTTCTTGATTATATAGAAATATAGTAATTACTACAAATATCATGATTTTCTTTTAAAAAGAAATTTGAAAAATTAAAGAGATATTTAGAAAATTATTCCAAAGTCTCTAATAAAACAGTGTCGTGCTGGTCGCCTCCGTTTTTTTGTGTGCGCCTGTAACCTCGTCCTTTGGCGCGTTTCCTTTTGAAAGCCTCTTGCGTGCCTCTCTCGCGGTACGAAAATTTCGGAAATTTTAGCACCGGTAGCTTTTCTCTCCCGGTACCAAAATTTCCGAAATTTTGGTAGCTTGAGGGGGACAAGCTCCCTGTACTAAAATTTCCGGAAATTTCGGTAGGAATGCTCCCGGCAATAAAATTTCCGAAATTTTTGTGACATGCTCGCGGTAATAAAATTTCCGAAATTTTAGTACCGGGAGCATATCCTAGATCAAGCTTTGAGGACCGATTTCAG